TGTGTACCTGGCGTGGTGTTTAAAGGTCAGCATTGGGTGACAGAGGCGGCTGGGCGTGGTGTTGGATATCTACCTCCTCGTGTGCCGTACTGACCTTCATAGGTGCTCACGAACAGCACTTGCCTCAAAAGCCTAGTAAAGGCTATGCAGGGGAGTCTTTGTCTATGTGTGTGCAAGCAGAACCGGCCCTAGACCTTTGGGGGCCCTAAGCAAAATTTGGTTGGAGGCCCCTTTGATGTATGATTTTTTTCACCCACGAGCTAGCAGTGACTCTAGGAAGCCCTCTGCTGGCCACGGGGCCCTTTGCAATTGCAAGGGTCGCTTAGTGGCTGGGCCGGCTCTGTGTGCAAGCACATGCGTTTAAAAAATATGTAATAATAGCAATATAGTTTTGGTTATTGTCATTATCAGCCATGTTCAACCCACTGCTGAAAAAAGCCCTCCTTAAGCCATTATCATATCTAACGATCTTGCAATGAATGAGATGCACTAATCCACTGATTCACGTAGTGCCTGTACATTTTCATCGCTCCATCCCCTTGGTTGACATGCTCTGGGGCATGCCCCCACTTGTCATTGCAGAAACGAATAGAGTTGATTTTGAAAAGACAATGCCAGGTTACATTCATGTATGTATGTTGATCTTTATATTCTTGGCTCTTTCGGTAAAGTCACGTAGAAGGGAAACAATAAAATAATAAAAATATAAAACAATACAATTCTCACGACGTTTCGACTGCAACACAAGCAATCGTCATCAGGTGTGAAAAACACAGCAAGAAAATTTGAAACGTCGTTAGAATTGTATAGTTTTATATTTGTATTATTTTATTCTTTCCCTTCTACGTGACTTTACCAAAAGAACCAAGAATATGAATCCCTGCAGTCACGAAAGCTTTAAATCAAAATTTATGTTGATCTTCTTTCACCCCGTATATAGCCATCTGTGCTAATCGCAGCCGCACATAACTTGCACCATTTGGACTGGGAAAGCACAGAACGGTAAAAATAAATTCAAGCAATTAAAACGCACTTGTTTTGATCAAACATGGATGTGTATAATTTGCCTGCACTTTTATCATGTTTAATCGGCACATTGCTGTGACATCAGTGATGCAGTGAACGTATAATGCTACCAATAGGTTTCTAATTTTCTGAAACTTCATCATAGTTGAGTTGACGCATTAACTTCCTTTTGAAAATGTTCATTGGATTCCACTTGGGAAAAAAATGTCAAAAATAAACAATCACCATAGACACACTATTCCAATCATTTTTTCCCCGTGTGCGACATCAAACGTGCTCACACAAACGTGTAATTTTGACACCATATCTAAAAACATCACAGATAAATTACGTGCAGGGAAGTAAACAATGCACTTTGACAGGTTCTGCAATTCAAATCCGTATTCATCTAATTCTAATATTAACATAATGAGAGGAAATAAATAACGTAGATCAACTTTCAAATGAGTACAGTAGCTTCTTTCGATTTAAAGCTTTCGTGACTGCAGGGATTCATCTTCTTGGTTCTTTCGGTAAAGTCACGTAGAAGGGAAGTAATAAAATAATAAGCACCAAGAAGATGCAGTAGCTTCTTTGAAAATGTCGTCAGTGTTTACAATTATCAGCTTATTGAAAAGGTAAGGCCCCTGGTGGTCAGGCTTCCATGAGGCATGCGTTTGTACAATTTATTTTTGTATTAGTGTTTATTCGAAAGGGGTTGGGTGGGTGGGTGGTGCAGTGTGCTGCTTACACTTGGAAGGTTGGGAGTTCAAATTCCGGTTCGGAGCAGACTCAGCTCTTCACCCCTCTGGGTGAAATCAAATGAGCACCACTTGGTGGGAAGTCAACAGTGGTTGTCCTGTGGAAGATTTTCTCCCAACCATAGGAATGTGGTAATTCTATCACTAGCTCAGGGCAGTAAAACAAGACATGTGGTGCACTTCATAAACATTTCCCACTCAAACGTTTGCAACGCACTGCAAACGTTTCAGTTGGAAATCACTTAATCTCGGCCGGCGCAGTACTTGGCTGCATCAAAAGATGAAAAGGTGTGCTAAGAAGCGAGGAGAGATGCAGGAGGCTCCAAATTACATTGAGACACTCGTAGGAAGAACACAAGGTTAAAGACATGATTCAAACTTCAGAAAAGTCAGCCGGCTTGGGGCAAGAAGGTGTATAATTCTAGATTTGAAGCTTTCGTGACTGCAAGGATTCATACTCTTAGTTCTTTCGGTAAAGTCACGTAGGTAAAAAAATGAAATTAATAAAAATAAAACAATAAAAATCACGACGTTTCGGAGGCAACACAAGTCTCCGTCATCAGGTGGGACCGTCACAGCCAGATTTGCTGCAGCAAAACGTCGTGATTTTTATTGTTTTATTTTTATTAATTTCATTTTTTTACCTACGTGACTTTACCGAAAGAACTAAGAGTAAGAACGTGTCTCTCGAGGGGATGATGGCCGACGGTCGAGAGAAGTGGCAGAGTTTGCAGCCAGGGTTTTCCCCGCATCCGAGACGGTGGCGGAAGAGGAGATGGAGTAAAGCAATCAGCTTGCGTGCAGGCGATAGGCGGATTGTTGCATCGCAGAACCGTGAGAGGGCCCCTATCCAGCAGTGGAATGAGCACGGCTTATAATGATGATGGCGATGGGTACATATGGTACCATAACATCCTGCCTTTTGTGCTTAACGCCTGACCCCTCAACTCTCTGACTCCTTCACACGCTCCCCTTTCCAAGCCTAGGGCACCATTTCTTCCTGCTTCGGATTGGGATGCACCGCCGATTCAGGGAATGCCATCAATTCAGTCCCGGAACAATACATGCCCATGAGAATAAAAGCATAGCACTCCCACATTCATTATATATACAAACAAAGCAACCCATTGCTACTGGAAGCAAACAACTTGTTGTATCTTCTTGGTTCTTTCGGTAAAGTCATGTAGAAGGGAAATAATAAAATAATAAAAATAAAACATAATAAAATAATTCTCACGACGTTTTGGCCACAACGCAAGTAGCCGTCCTCAGGTGAGGAACAGGTCTGTCGGAAAGACAGAACAGGTCTGTCAGAAAGACAGGTCTGTCTTTCTGACAGACCTGTTCTTCACCTGAGGACGGCTGCTTGCGTTGTGGCCGAAACGTCGTGAGAATTATTTAAATATGTTTTATTTTTATTATTTTATAATTTTATTATTTCCCTTCTACGTGACTTTACCGAAAGAACCAAGAAGATGAATCCCTGCAGTCACGAAAGATTTAAATCGAAATTTAACTTGTTGTATGTAAGGTAATATCATAAAGCTTGTCACACGATGGCTTGTTGTGCCTCATGCCCACTGCTCTGAAACGAGTGATTTTCCCCATGGATAGGCATGCAAATGAGAATTTCATTTCCCCACTGCTCCTGCCAATGTTTAATAAATGAATAAATAAATGAGAGTATAAATAAATTACACTTCCCTCTGGTCAAGCTGTGTACCCGGAGCTTATGCTAAGTTCCTATCAATCCCTCTTGTTGAGTGTTTAAATTCTTTAAACTCCGCTGAAGAGACGACAGGTATCGCTGTATCCCCCAACATCTTCCATTTGCCGTACAAAAACTGCCCTCTCAAAGATAAAGTTGCCCGCATTTTATTCCAACACTCCACCGTCAGTCCCATTTGTTCAGCGCTCTATATTTTACCTGGCGAGAGCCCGTTGAAATTAACATCCATTGGCTATTTTTTTCAGCAACACCCTGGGAGATCAAATGGTACGAAAGACGTGTTTGTAAGTATTTGAAGTTTGGCTGAGGATTTTTGTGAAAAATTTAGGATTTTTACAACATCTGCACAGCAAAAGCTTGCTTCTGGGAAAATATATATCGTCACCATCATCATCAACGATGATTAATCCACTGCTAGATGATGTCCCCCGAAAAAAATCCGTCTTGAACTTCTACCGTGGAACTTTTCCATACCTAACTGCTCATTCGAAAGCTTCTGCATTCCTAAAACATTAACTTAATATGCAAGAAATGTTTTTGTTGTTGTCGTAAAACAGTGTTAGTAATGACAGTGATGAAGCAGTTTTAGCTTGTGTTTCTATACCACAGCCTACGCGGCCCCTTAAATTTCATTTAAAAATCCACGAGGCAACTGGCATCTCCTCATCTCAACAAAGATGCGGTACTTTAACACCTTAACTACAGCTGGCAGAGGGAGGATAGGGAGAGGAAGCTGCATGGAGAGAGAGAGGATGAATTATACTAATGCTCTTTCTTTATTGAGGAAATCTTCAGTGTCACAAGCCTCCTTTTCACAACAATTTGGAAATCAACCCAATTCGATTAACATGTCAGGAGTAAACCCACAACACCTGAAGAACCTACAAAGCATGTTCAAGGAAACCCATTGCTATATACGTCCACCCCCTGCACCATCCTCGCAGCCTAAGCCTGCAACACCCGATACTACTACTGCTGCTGCTGCGCTGGTTTGTGCAGCTGTGGGCACATATCTCGCTGACGTGTGTCGAGCTCTGACACGTGCCGTCTAGCACGTGTCAACGTCCCGTTCTGCATGCCGGAAGCGAAACCGTCGCACGTCGTTCCGCAGCGACACGTGGTAAAACCCGGCCACACGTCGCGGCGCTAAACACCTGGTGTGCTTAGGTGGCCTCCTATCTGGACATCTGTGAACCTACTGGGCATCCAGTTGGTTTAGTTTTTTTTAGTTTCTCTCCTTCTCCCGCACCTCCGATTAGCACGGTTGCCTACGCACTGTGCGAAAGAAGTTCAACATGCATACGCATGCGTAAAAGAGCTTCAAAACTCATCGGATTCCTCCAATCTCAATAATGATTCTGATTCACTAACCACGCTCAAGGCTGCTTAGCTTCTCAGCTCCAACTGAGGGTGTTTCCGTGGTCGGCAGCGTACGTGCACGGCGTGACGTGCGCGCCGCTCGCTCGCTCCCTCGCTCGCTATTCACTCGCATGCTCGTTACTCACCGGCCTGGTTCGTGGTGATGTTGACGGCGACCGACTGCGGCGGGTAGGGGCTGCGCTCCGACACGCCGTTCACCGCCTGGATCTCGAACGTGTACGGCGTGTGAGCGAGCAGCCCGCTGATGAAGACGCGCGTCTCCGAGAGGCCCTGCTGCCGCGGCACGAACTCGACGGGCTCCAGGCAGCGGCCGCAGTTGAGGCGCCGCGTGTCCGTGCAGCGGCGGCACACCACGTTGTAGAGGACGTCGTCTCGGCTGCCGAGGTCGCGCGGCTGGGCCCAGTCCAGGGTGAGCGACGTCTTGTTCACCACGGCCGTCACGTCCCGCGGAGCGGACGGTGGGCCTGGGATGAGGAGGAGGACGCAGGCACGCGGGCAGGAGGCAGGTGCTCGATTGAATTCTAGATTTGAAGCTTTCGTGACTGCAAGGATTCATGCTCTTAGTTTTGCCGGTAAAGTCACGTAGGTAAAAAATGAAATTACAATTAATAAAATAAAATTATAAAAATCACGACGTTTCGGAGGCAACACAAGTCTCCGTCATCAGGTGGGACCGTCACAGCGAGATTTGCTGTATCGTATTTGCTGTATCACAGCCAGATTTGCTGTATCGTATTTGCTGTATCAGCAAATCTGGCTGTGACGGTCGCACCTGATGACGGAGACTTGTGTTGCCTCCGAAACGTCGTGATTTTTATTATTTTATTTTATTATATTTAATTTCATTTTTTACCAACATGACTTTACCGAAAAAACTAAGAGTTTAAGCTCGATTGAATGTCCGTGTGTATATATGTACGTACTTGTGTTGAATTTATTTTGTAGCGTAAGTAGCCCACCGTGAGTGAGTGAGTGGGTGCGTGCATGTATGTGTGTTCAACTTTTTTCGGACCGTATGTAGCCGACCGTGCTAATTGACCGTTCCAATATCAATGGCAAGAGTGGAGGCCAAACGCGCTGCTCAATGTCTAGGGAAGTGATTTCTTGAGTTTAGTTAAAACGAATTAATGGGAATAAACCGGACTCGTAATCGGATAGTTGCGCATTTTAAAATGCTGGTCAGTAAGCACGCGAAAGAGCGTCATCGATTCATCACGCGCTGCAACGTCGATTAATTATTAGGTAAGCTTGGCAATTGCTTATTCTCACACACCACTGCTAGCTTTACACTTTTACCATGTTTTTAAAACTCCCCGCGAATGACTTAATTGATAGAACACAGCAAATATTACACCTTCCCCCCATCCCCCCACCATCCCCTTCACTACGAAACGACAGCAGAATGCATGTGAATCACAGTGCCAATACAACAACCTTGCGTTCTGAAGTCGGTACAAACTCCGAATGTACTGGTGAATCGACTGGATCGAGGACCCCCCTGCACCCCCCCTCCCCCCCCCCTCGTTGTGCCAGCCCTGCCACCGCTGGGTGCCTCTTACTCGTGCAGGGTGTCTCCGCGGGGTCCTTGTCTGCCCGGTAGTACCCGTTGCGGCAAACACAGCTCATGGACGCCTCTCCCGGCGTGCGACTGTTGGCCGGGCATGCCAGGCAGGACCCCAGTCCGGTGCTCGCCTTGAAAGTACCCGAAGGGCACGCTGGAGAGACACGAAGGTAGAATGGTACAATTATAAACGACCGTTCCGAACACGAGCAGGTGATTTAGCAACCGTATTGGTCAATGTTTGCTGCGCGCCTCCATGCTCTTCAGGCAGATGTAACAATTCGGGGATTTTTTTTCTTCTCAAGCATCTGGGCTTTAATCGTTACAATATACAGCTGCTTGCCAGCGCTTTAGTTAACATTTTGATAAACACAAGTTGCAAGACAGCGTAGGTTGGCACACAGACACATATGCACGCGCGTCAAGACTGCTCTTCTCACACGTAAGTTGTATACGCCGCGGGGTGATCTTGTAGATTTACGGCTTTAAGGTCGTGATGCCCCATTTGGGGATGGCAGTGTGGCCTTGGCATCATGCCCAGCCACCTTTGTCTCCCAGGTGCTGATGCTAACTCATTACACACTACATACTCATCATAAACTGAGGCACTTTATGGGAGCCCCAAACTAAGTTCAAATACTGACTGCACCTGATGATTTACGTGCCAAGGAGTGAATGAAGCCTTGGCTACTCGGGACTGCGGAGTGGAGTCGTGGCATAGTTGTTAGCACAACGGGTCCAGTGATTTTAATGACATCTGCCTCAGCCTTGGAGCCTCCATTCCCTTCAGCAACCCACCTTGACCTACACAATGTAAAGTCTTTTTTAAATGGACACCAATAACCTGCAGAGGCAGTTATCCAACAGTGGACTGACAAAATGGCGATGAATACAGGTGTACCCCGATATACGTTGCTTCAATTTACGATGATCCCTTATTATGTTCGTCATGAATTAGTGCGTTTTTTTTCAGTTAATGTCTGCTGTGTTTCGGTATTCTGCTTTTTCTCAATGAAAAACATTGTCAGCGAACAAAAATAATACAAATATCAATCGTAAACGGCCTCACGTTGTCGTTTGTCCGTGAGCGCTTTTTATTATTGTTCCAGGGCGTTCTCCTTGGCGGCCATCATTCACAGCCTCACCACTCATTTGCAGGCCAGGCCGCTTAGTTCAAAACACGGTTCGCTCTCGATCAATCCCATCGATCTTAATTTTACGTGCCAATATCGCCCTTAATAAAGTAGGCATCGGTGCCACGTTACAGCGGAACGGGGGTGGGGGGGGGGTCACAACAGCAACAGGAATGGAAAAAAAGTAACCTGTCAACGCCCTCAGCGGCTAAGACCGACGGAGCAAAAGTAAATTGCAACCGCGCTTAAAATAAAAATGCAAATAAATTTCTACCGCGCTTTGGACTGTCCTGCATGTACTCCTTTGGACTGTCCTGTCTGTACTGCACAAGAGGAGGGCGGCAAATGCTCCAACTGCCTCTCCCTCCCAGTCACCCCTCCACTCCTCAACACCTCGTCGCAGTATCACCTCAAGCGACATGCACCACAGTTTATGGTTCGTAAATTAGTGTACAGTTTTTATTTTCTTTTAATTATTCACCGAGCTATTATGATCCACATTTCCGCATGAACATATCTCGGTTGTCGTGAGGTTTTTCTTGCAGATATTTTTTTGTTACTCTTAGAAACGCATTATAGAGGCGTTATATAATGGCACCTCATGGGAAGATTCGGTTACGATGTGCGATTTCTCACCGTAAGTTCATGTTTTCAAGAAAAAAAAACTCAAATGTGCATCAAGGTATGCCCAAAGTGTGCGATCAACTGTCATATCACTACCGAAGACAAAGATCCCCCATATAGCCTCAGCAGACTGTTGGGGCAAGTGCTGTTAGCAAGCACCAATGAAGGCCGGCATGGCACACGAGGTGGTGGGTGGCCAGAACCACGCCTGGCCGCCTTTGTCTCCCCAGTGGCGATGTTTACACATCACACCAGGTACTCATTTGAGGCTGAGTCGACCCTAGGGGAGGCCCAGGACCGATTTGAATAATCGTCACTGGTGTTGGCCGTGAGCAGGGAATCTAACTCGGGTCGCTGGGTTCATAGTGCAGACTAGTGCGCTAACCGTTGTGCCACCACTCCCCACAATCACTACCAACCACACAGTTACACGTAACCTATTTGCATCAGAGATGAGGGTAGCGCTCAAGCTGCACATTTCACCCGTGCTTTCACATCAGTCAAAATAATAAGTATTGAATATTCGCTGCATATATAATGGGAGTGTTTAATTTTATTCAGCACTGACATTAATGATGCTTCATTACTTTTCCAAATGTTTAAACCTTACTAATAGTAGTATTTTTTTTGACATATTAAAGCCTTTATGAAAATTTCATTTATGTAGTAGCTAAAATAACACGTTTCATATTTTATTCAGGGAATTAACCACAATGCAGCACATTTCCCACATTAACAAACGAAACGTTCAATGTCGTTCGTTTCCCATCACACTTAATTTAACTTTCTCCACTTTTATTTCAAACATGGATGCATTAATGAGCACTTTTCATTAATTGGACATCCAAAAATGCACTGTGCCTTTCCGATGAAAGGGCCATATTTGCAAGAGCGTTCACATTTCAATCACGCTAAAGCACAATACGAACATATACTTTGCACCTTGTAAGCCTTGCAGAGTGACCGAATGAAAGCCATTGAAAGATTGAGTGGCTGGACAAAAAATATATAGTTATAATGTTATTTCATTTCCTCATGGTGCTCAATTCCTGGAACCATGAGCACATTAATTATTTTACCAAATCCCCAGACAATGCATCAATATTTATAAGAAGTGTGCTGCTCTAGTGCTGTTCTAAATTAATATTGATTTACACTCTCTAACCTTCATATAATAACACACCACAGCAGACTCAACATGTAATCTAGACTTATCTTAAAATACATCTTTTTTTTCTCTCTCCAAAAAAGCCAAATTAAGGAAAAACATTATTTCAAACGTTGGTGAACAGTGCAGGAAACATAAATTCTGATTACATTTTGTGGTGCAGTTACATATATGAAATTAAATTCACTGGATAATACAAGTGTATGCATGAGTGTGTATGTGTGACAAAGTGAATCTTTCTGAAAATCAATGTGGAAACTAAAGCCATACACGTACACACGTGCATTGTCAATAAACAACTGCCTGAGCACATGCTATATCAGTAGGCATGGTGCCATTAAGCATCTTTAACGTGAACCATCCCATTTGTAATGCTACGTAACCAAAGCTAGACTCACCACCAGCACACCAGAAACAAAGAATTGCATTCTAAAAATATATATATTAAAATACCAAAACATGAAGTCACGTAAAAAGATATCCATACATCCTTTAACAACCTGTTGTTTCAGAGAAACAGCACACTCGTGGGTAGTATAGCCATCACCAAGCCCAACCACCTTTATCTTCTCAATGCTAACGTTCTCAGGCTTCACGAGGTATATACCACAGAGATCATGGACCTGGAATTGCTGAAAAACTGGGTTTGAATCCAGGTTTCAGCTGCCCAGCCATGATAAAATTGGAGCTTCGCAAGTGATGCTACCAGCCCGCTCTGCAAGTAATTCACAAAAAACCCATTCCATTAAGTTTGATATTTAAATTAATCGGGCTAAATTACAGTTATCATAATTTAAAATGTTGGGGCGACTGCCATGCGACAAACATTTATCTCTGTGTTCCATTGCGTGGGAAAGTATGACCTTCCTTTCGAAATGAAACAAGATTACTTGAAGAGATCTCAGAAAATGGGCTGTTAAAATGTGCTTCCTTTGGTCATTCCCTTACACGCGGGGCTGCGGCGGTCTAAAAAACTGGATTTAATACACAATCGCCGAATGGACGAAAACATCTTCTTGGTTTTTTCGGTAAAGTCACGTAGAATGGAAATAATAAAATAATAAAAATAAAACATAATAAAATAATTCTCACGAAGTTTCGGCCACAATGCAAGTAGCCGTCCTCAGGTGGAGAACAGGTCTGTCGAGGAGACAGTCGTGAGAATTATTTTATTATGTTTTATTTTTATTCTTTTATTATTTCCATTCTCCATGACTTTACCGAAAGAACCAAGAAGATGAATCCCTGCAGTCACGAAAGCTTTAGGACGAAAACATATTATCACCAAGTCTCATGACATGATACCGATAGCATGATTGGAATAAAATTAAGAAAAAGACAAAATATGTGCGTTTTTTTATTGCCATAGTTGGAGTGGAATCATAGGCTCAATGGGCTTTAAACATCTGGAGAGACACCCCCTCATGCTCACACGTTCCTCGGCAGGATAGCGATAGTTAGCGTGGGCCACCTGTAAAGCCATTTGCAGCGCGTTGGACAATCACGCCCCGGCTTTCACGTGGCTCTCCCCACTGAATTGACCCTCTCGCACGTCACCAGGGTCGCAGATCTCTCTCTCTCTCGCTCGCTCGCTCTCCACCGATCGATCGGCAATCAAGCAGCCACTTAGTCTGGTATTACCCTGTTCACGGGCCAAAGGTCTCTTGGCGAATTTTAAGCAGGCTCGTGTCGATGGGAAACGCTGGGTTCTCACGTGGAGAATCGCCTTTTGCCATCAATTGTATTCTCAATAGTGCCAGGCACAATTTAAGGAAGCCCTTGACTTTACCCAAACAAGGACTCAGCCGTACTTCTTACCAAGCCTCTCATTATTGAGTGAATTGGAAGGGGGGCAGGGGGGGCAAGGGAAGAGATTGATCTGGAGATTTATTATGTGCCTTAAGGAATTTTATTGTTGAACATGCCCATGTTGAAAAGATGAATGTTGATTAGATATTTACGATGATTACTATTATCTGGCACGGATGATAATAACATGATGGAACTGATAGGAGCAATGCAATTATTTCCATGCACTTTCAAGATACCCTGATGGTTGTATAGGTTGTATGTGTGTACGCATATATACGCGTGTGTGTGTGTATCCACGTTTTCAGCTGTGTGGGTTAGAAAAATATTGTTACATCAGCGATAACCCCGAGCAAGTACGTTGCGAGCAGAATAAACATGTTTGTACTGCGGACATATTTTCTTTGCGAAAAGAAAGAA